CCATCACTCAATATACATACTAATAATAAGGGGGTTCATGGCTCTTAGAAAAGAGTTAGACAGGAAAGTTAGTTAGGGGGTTTTGGGTCTGCCTACAAAGACGCTGAGGTCATCCTATCCTAGAAGGGGTCCACCCTAACCCGCCCACAATTAAGCAAGCCAGAAGTCATTTTTTAACTCACACAAAGAAATCAGTAGGCAGAGAATTAGGTACCGGTTTAAGCCAGTCACTCGCACTCGTGCAATGAAGACCCCAATGACCTTCATTTCGCACGTGTGCAGTGAAGACCCACTAACCACCAACTCACCTGAGCCTCATTATACCATCATTATAATATGATGTATATGCCCAGAAGTTCATTAATATTATAACAGACTGAATTCTGGGAACAAACATGCACAGAAAGCAAAATGATGAATCACTGAGCCCTGTCAATCTTAGTTGTCAAGGAAGCCCACTCCTCTATGAAAAGTAACCACCCACAGCAAAAAGGGATAAAATCCCCGAAGCTTTTGTTACCAGGCCTTTTGAGCTACGCTTCTCTTGCTCAGTCCTGCTTCCACTTCTGGAAATGTACTTTCCTTTCTAATAAAACTTTTCTACTGTATTTCGGTGTCTTGCTCAATTCTTTGTTCGAGACATCAAGAACCTGGACAACGTGCTGGGAGAGGATCCACACTCTCTGGTAACATCCCCACTTTTAAATTTATTTTAAATTGACAATATTTAGACAGAATGACTTTTTAATTTCTGAAACTCACAGAGAGAGACAAAACATAATTAAGAAGGCTGAAAAACATCTAGTCTTCTTTCTGCTAACAGTGCCCAGCAGTTGCTACTTAACAAAACCAAGTATAATCAAAGAATGGTGTGCATGTCAGTGCTGCTAATACATCCCAATGCCTGAGTTTCATAAAAGAAATCATTCCCTTTCCTACCCCTAAACTTTACCAGGTAAAGTTTCAATAAAATTTCACCCTGGAGAAATAGAACAGATATCAGATGAGTGGAGCAGGATTAATTTTCTAGGAGAAAAAAGTGCAAGATTCTAATACGGTATCCTACCGAATCAAAATAATTTGGCAATTTTTAACAGTGATCTAAGTGAATAATCATATTTAAAATCACTACCATTAGCAAATAATTGAGCTCAGCAATATGGCTATACAGCCAAGAGCAAAAGCTCTGGTGTCACATAGATCTGGGTACCAATCCTACTTCTGTGTTCCATGACCTTGGGTAAGTCACTTAAACTATCTGAGCCCATGTTGTTATCTGCAAATGGATGACAATGACAGGGTTGTTGTGAGGATAATAGTTATCTTGTATATAAAGAACTTTTCTTTTTTTTTAATAAAGAACTTAACACAATGTTTGGCACAAAGTAAGTACTCGATTCTTGTTATTATTTTCAGTTTTAGATCATTCTGGCTACTATCTAGAAGATATATTGAAGAGACAAGAATGAAGATTCCAGTCAGAAGGGAGATGGGAGTCTCAAAGACTAAATGGTTGGTTTCCTGTAGTATCTCTGGGAACAAGAGTATTTATAATCATATACATAAGAATATGTGTTGTAACTAATTTTTTAAATTGGGATTCTATAGACATAGCTAAAAAGAATGCAAAGGTTTTCCATTTCTAACATTAATTTGATAGATAAAGACAAGATATGGAGGAAACTGAAATTTAAAATGTCTTCCTGTCTTTTTTAATAAAACTTGCAGTCAAATTGCTCAATGTAATGTAATGTGTATTTTTAAAGGATGATATTGTGGGTAATAGAAAATGGCTGTTTTATTCTCAAAAGTATATTTTAAAAATTAAATTTATTTGGCTTTTTTGCAGCCTTGTGCTATTTATCTTGGTATCCCCAGAACCTAGAAAAGTACTTGACACAGTGTATACACAATAAATGGTTTGTCAACTGATCTTAACTAAATGCCTAGTGAAATATTCTTAAGTTTTTTGGTCATTTTTAAAATTGAGAAAATATAAAAACAAATTCAATGTACATGTATTATTACATACCTATATGCTTTAAAATCTATTTACCTTAACAGCACTTATAGCTGTATCAAGCGTTGAAACTTCATGGTCTTTGTGGGTGCCAAATATCTTGTCGGCAGCAGAAATTGGGCTTTTGCAAGTGTAGCAATATGTGTCAATCTGGGACTTTTTCACTTCCTTCTGTTCCTCCTCGGTGACTAACTCTGATGATAATTGTTCTTCTGTCCTCTCTCTGCCCAACTCTCTCTGTTCAGCAGACATACTTTGTTCCACCTCATTCACAAATTCATTTTCACTGATGTGTTCGGAGGATTCCTTCCCTTGAGATAACACAAACTCAGGAGTAGATTCTGAATACAGTTCTTCTGATAAAGTGTCTTGAGTAACCATTTCATAATTCAGGGATTCAGCAAATTCATACTCATCCTGAACAGGGCTATTGCGGAGTCTATCTTCACTTGGCTCGGGTGGGACCATTATGCTAGGTACTTCTTGCAGTGTTTCTTGAACACAGGTTGCACCAGATGCAAATTCTTCCTCTGGGAAGGACACTTGTACTGGAACATTCAGATTGACCTCTGGATTAGCATTTGCTGCTTCATCACTCTGATTGCTTGTTTCACCTACTCTCTCCAGAACATGATGGGTGTCTTCAAATGGAACCGCATGGGTTATCTTCTGGGTGACCACTCTGACTTCCTCAGTGATGGGAACTTTGCTCTGTATAGCTACACTGTCAAGGGTCTCCACGTGGCCTACTGATTCTCCTTCTCCATAAGTAGCTTTCTGTCCCTCTTCCAGACTCTTTTCTCCAAGAATAGTTCCGAACCTCCCCCAAATTTCCCCTTCTGCTGCTATTGGCTGGTATAAATCATCCTTAACACCTGGTTTTTCTTCCAGACCTTGGCCTTGGTTCTTTTCAGTTACAGATGTGTCATGGAGAATGTCATCTTTGAGTATGTACTTCTCAAAATATATTCCTGTTCCATCATCAGTGTCAGAATTTCTTCTTGGAAATGATGCCTCAGAATTCACACTATCACCTTCAGAAGCTGTCTCCCCTTCCTTCTTTTTCTCTCCAACTGCTTCTTCATACAGATCCTTGTATAAAAATGCAAGTGCAGGTGGCTCCTCCAGAAGTTCGGGATTAATGGCTTTAGCAGTGGTAGGAAGTATCTGAGTTCGTGACAAAACCTCTTCTTCTGCATCAAATAAAGGCATCCCAGGTAACTTGGAACCCACATCTCTGTTTGCGCTTTTCGAAGCATCTTTATCAGGTGATTTTTGGATAACCAAAGACTTTGGGGTTTCTCGGTGAGATAACTTTTCCAGTCCATAGAAACTTTCATCTAATTTCACCAAGTCATATTCACATTCTATGGCACTTTCCTCTGAACTTTCTGGGAATGAGATAGTTTCTTCTGGAATTTCCTTTGAGAATTCTACTTCAACATTTAATTTCTGTGGAGCTTTCTGTTTTTCTGGGTCTGGGGAGATGTTATAATCAATCAATGTATATTTTTCAAAATAATCCTCTTCACTGGGAATTGTGGGCTGATTAAAGGGTAAATCACCAGTTTCTGAGTCTGTGGATAATTGTTCTTTTGTTTCATGAGTTTCCTTTTGTTTACTTTCTTTCAGTGATGTGACTTTTTTATCCGAATCTTCTAACTTACTCGCCAATGTTTTATGGCAAGCGACTGCCTCACTATCATCATGGAGGGGTAGAGTTTTTAATGAGGCCTTCTCTTCCAAATATTCTAATTTATCTTGCATTTGTTCACTTTCTTCTTGATCAACTGAAGAGATAAATGCAGGAGCATGAATATTCAAAATCTCACAGCCTTCAGAAATGATATTGAAGGCACTCTTTTGATCTTCTGAAAGTCCAGCTGGCTTACTAGTCATTGAAAATTCTTCATCTTTTTCATATGTGTCTTCAGGCTCTTCAGATACTTCTCTAGTAGAAACCATTTTATTGGCATTGGTTGTTGTTGCACTTGCTATAAATTGAGCATAGTTGCTGCTTAAAGAGCGTGGTTCATTTATATGGGCAGCTTCTACAGCCTCCAAGTGGTGCTTTGAAACAAGAACAGATTGTTTAGACGTTTCAGATGCTTGCTCTTTTGATGTCTGAATAGTATGGACTGTATGCCTACCTGGAGTCAATTCTTGTTTCATCATTGTACTAATTTGTTTCTTTACTGTACTAATTTCTGGAGAAGCTTCTGAAACAAGTGCTTGTGGTTTCACTGATGACAACAAATATGGAGGTGTTTCTAAGATCTTTGTTTCATCCAAAGGATGATCTAAAATCCTTTCAGATTCTTTAGATGGAGAGCCTTGTTTCATACTCCCTTTTGCGATATCTATTGAACCACCTTTTGACAGCTCTGATACTGTGACCAGTCCCTTTTCTTCATTCTGACTTGCCAAATCCCTGCTTGATTTTTCCAATACCAGATTTCCTTCCTTAGGAAAAGAGTGGTTATCTATTTCATCATGATAAGAAAGATCCCCTGGAAAGAAAGTCTTGGTTTTCTCCATCAGTACTTCACTTTCTTCTAACAGATGTGGTTGGGTTGCTACTGTCTTTGTTTCCCTGATTTCTGGGTGAGTCTCTGAGATTATGATTTCTGATTTTTCAGTAACTGATGTAGTTTTAGTTAATGAAAATGGACAAGTTTCACCCAAAGAATGACTTAGAGAGACATCTGATTCTTCGGGCAGAGACCTGGCTATAGTCACAGAATAAGGCTGAATTTCCTGCTGCTTCTCTCCTTCTAAAAACACATGTGACTGTTTTGCTTTTTCTTCTCCTTTCTCCTCCTTAATAATTTTGTGTCTTTCCTTGTGGTCTTCATTTTGATAGACTTGCTGCAGCACAGCAGCCGCTTTTGATTCCTCCAATTTAATAGGGCTAGATCCATGTGTAATGTGTGCCTTTCCTATTTCATTATTATCTCTTAGCTCTAATGGGGCCACAGTTTCTTGTTTTTCTGCCAGCACCTTCTTTTCTGCCAAAGAATATGATCTGGTTTCCAAGTTATCTTTTTCCTCAGTTGGGCTAACAGACCTGAGTTTTATTTCCTCTTCAGAAATTTTCAAGGAAGTAGGTTTTGGCATTTCTTTATTTAGTCTGTCTTCACCAAGATCAATTAAACTGCCTTTATATTCTTCTACTGGCAAAATTGTTGACTCTGGCTTCTCTGATGCCTTTGTAATATTTTTATTTGTGAAGCTAGAAGAAGCTGATTTTGGCTGTTGTGACATCTTATCTACCACATCAAATGAAAAGAGTGATTTTTCTTTTTGATCACTTCTTGGCTGTTCAAGAACTGAAATATTCCATTTAGATGGAGGAGAGATTTCTGGCTTCTGGGCTCTTTTACTATCAGTGACATGAAGAGGAACAGCATTTTTGGCTTCTTCCATAATGGATTCCTCACTCATGAGAGAATAAGATTGAAGATGGTCCTCACCTTCAACAGAAGTAACTAAGTTTAGACCCATTTCCTCTGAAGAGTCTAGGATTTCTTTCTTCCCATGATCTTCACTGGACACCTCAAAATTGGGTTTTGGCTGTTTTAGAACTTCTACATTTGATAAAAGTGTAGGTTTTTCTTTAAAGTCTTGACCTTCACCAGATTTAACCAAAGTATCTCTGGATTCTTCAGTAGTTATAAGTTTTGCCTCTGGTACCAGATGATCAGCTGGTTTCTCAGTTGCATTAAAGTCAGCTGGAGCTGTACCTTTAGGCTCTATCACAGTCACTGCTTTTTCTACAGATGGACTGGGCTGAGTTTCTACATCTTCTTTTTCAGCAACTGTGCTATCTGGAGAGCTTGATCCAAAAAACAAACTGGACACCCAAGATGTGAAAGATAAAATTCCTTTCCTTTCCTTTTCTTCAGAAAGGCCTGGTTTAGCTGCCTTTGGTTGCTCAGGCAGCTTTTGTGTCACCTCAGGTGATTCTGGGGGTTGAGGTCTTTCATTTTCTTGGGTTGAGGAGAGGGGTTCTATTTGTGTGGGTATTTTCACTTCAGATGTTGGTTTCCCTCTTTCATTAGCATCATCTACAACCTTTGACTGAACCATTTTTGATTCTTCTAATGGCTTCTCTCCAGGTAAAAGAGACATACTCCCATGTGCCGCTTTTTTATTACCCAGTGCAGGTTCTGCATCTTCTACCTGGAAATGGGCTGCTTTGCCAGGAGAAGGAATAGATTCTGATATGACTTGTTCCACTGATGGGCCAGACACTGGTTTCTGAAGGATTCTTTCAGAAGGTAGTTTGATTTCTTCTTGGTGGTCTCCTTTGCTAGGCATGGAAAATTCTGTGTTTGATTTCTCCAATATTGAACTTTCACTCCCCGTGAAAGAAAGGATTTGCTTCTCCTCTGCTTTATTTCTTTCTACATTTCCAGCTGGAACTAAAGATTTTGGTTGGGGGGCCAGCTTTATGTCTTCTTCAGAAGTTTTAGTTGATAAGGTCTCACTGTTACCACTGGAGATAACAAGAGATTCTGGTTTTTGTAATGATAAATGTGATTCTCCAGCAGAATGTGGCAGAACCTGCTTTCCGATTTCATATGTATGGTCTTTATCTGACAGAACAGCCTTGAGCTGCCCTGTCATCAGATCATCACTGGCAGAGGAAGCTAGCAGCACAGATCCCCGTACACTTTCTTCATGATTACTTGCCAAATCTCTTTCTGGCTTTTCCAGCATCCAGTTTTCATCCTTTGGAGAAATAAGGGTATCTTTCACTTGTGTTTCTTTAACACCTGCAGACTCGGCTATCACAAGTGATTTTGATTCTTCTAAAGGAAAATTCTCTTTCATAATTGAAAGTTGTTTAATACCTAGATCTTGTTTATCCACAAAAGATGTGCTTACATCAGGTAATTTAACAGCCTGATCTGAATGAAGTGCTTTTTCAGGCTTCTCTTGTTCCATGAGAAGGTGAGAAGTGATGTTTGATGGTTCAGTTATACTCTGGGGTACAGGGAATGTATTTGGTCGGTCTCTCTCTTCATTCAGTGTAGTTACAATATTTTCTGTTACTTGTGCTTTCAAATTTCCTAATGAGCTTATTTCTTGTTTTTCTCCCTTTTTAAAGTCAGCTGAATGGTTCAAGCCTTCTGATAATCCTTTTAAAGAAAAAGCATATGGATGAAGTTCTTCTGGGTTGTCTCCTTCAACTAAAGGGGTAAGTGCTTTTTTTGACTCTAAGTTGACTACCTTAGGAGAAATAGATTTAATTTCTTGACTCTGAGGTTCCTCCTTAAGGCATGATGAAAGCTCTGAAATTTTAGGCACTGTAGTTGATACTTGAAGTTCCCTGTTCTCTTCTTTACCTTCTCCTCTGCTCGTAAGATCAACTAGGTCCTTCTCTAAGACAGAATCCTTTGTTTTAGTTGTGGGAGATTTTATTAGTTTTGTATCCACAGATGCACTTTGCCTACCTAAACCACTAGTGGATTCCAACTCAGCATTTGGTAATTCTGATACTTGGTGTAGCTTGTCTTCCTTATCAGGTTCCAAAGAGAGCTCTGCCAGAGCAAGATCTTGTTTTTCTGACAGGGAATCTCCCTGAGCTGTAAGAGATATCTCCATTGCCTGTTTGTTCTTATCATCACTAAGGGTTGGTAATGTCAGAGCTAAATCTTCTAACTCTAAATTTTCCATCTGGGGAGAAGAATTTTCCATCTTTTCACTTATGCCTTTTGGAACTATATGTTTGGGTGCAGGTGACACGTTTTGCGAGAAAGGAAGTTCAGTTCCTTGTTTCTCTATCTCACCACCTAGATTGAGCAAAAGCCCATGTTTGGGCCCTGATACCTCTGAGGCAGACACAGAATTCTTTTTCTGTGATGAAGCCAAACGTTCAGAGTCAAGGACCATAGAAAATGAAAGACCTTGTTCGTTTTCCATCCTTGCTTCCTTAGATACATCTGCATGCTGAGACGACAGTGTTTTGGTTATTGGCAAGACAGGTTTAACTTCTTCAGTTTCTACTCTTGACAAAATAGAATGGTCTGATATAGAGGATACACTCGGAGGTGAATCAAATTTAATTTCCTTCTCTGCTTCTGACCAAGCTGGATGTTTGGATGCAGCAGTTTCAGTGGGAGAAGAACTAGCTTTAATTGCTATCTTTTCTTCTCCTTTAAAAAGTGAATGCTCATCTATAGATGTTACCAGTGGTGGCAAACCACTTCCTAATTCACTCTTTTCTACTTTTGTTAAGACTGGATACTCTACAAGGGTGGTAAGAGAAACCTCTGTTGACTTTTCCTCTTTTGCTAATTTGGTTAAGCTTGAATCATGCTTAGTTACAGATGTAGTTATTGAAGAACTGGGTTCAATTTCTTTCTTTACTTCTTCTGATAAAGCTGAAAATTCTGGTGTGGATGGTCCATGTTCAACTTCCTTTTCCACTCCTGGTGAAGGTGAATGCAGTACTCTAGGTATACCAGTTGTTTTAGAATCGTGTTTCACTTCTGTTTTTAATGCTGATAAAATCTCAGGTTCAGATAAAGATGTTTCTTTTACTGGTGAATATGGTTTTATTACTTCGGGCTCATTCCCCGACAACGTTCTCTGTTCTAGTTCAGATGTCACAGTTGGAGCTAAATTGGGTTTGACATCCTTCTTTGGCTCATCTACCAAGTCAGGCAGAACTGAATATTTCATCCCAGACCCTGGAACATTTGGAGGCTGAGGCTCCATTTCTTGATCCCGTGATCCACGTGATGTAGCTTCTTCAGATTCAGGCACAATTTCTTCCTTACTTTTAACTTTTAACAAAGCCATCTGTTCATTTGCAGCTTTTGGAGTGAGCAATCCTTCGGGTTCTTGTTCTTTCTTAAATGCATGGACTGAATCAGGTGAAACGGAATATTGAGATGAAGGCAAAACGGATTTGGTTTCTTCCTTTACCATGGATGATTGTGTAGGTAAAGAAACAGGGGTTGCAGCTCCTGATAAACTAGTCTTATTTTCTCCCTTCTCCAATTCACTGGTTAAATACGGTGAAATCAAATCTTCCAACTTAGGTTCTAAAAATCCTTGAGTTACCCGCTTCTGTGCCAAAATGAGATATTCAGATACAGACGTTGAGGCTGTTTGAGCATCTGTTTTCTCTGCTTTATTTGTTGCAGGTGGCAGACTCAAGTCTTCAGGTGCAGATATCGAAGGGGAAGGTTCAGCTTGTTGCTTCTGTGATGAATCGAGATGTTCAGGTACAGGTGTAGCAGCTGTTGGTTCAATTTCTTCCTCATCTGCTTCTGAAAAGTAGGAATACCCTGAAGCAGATATTGCAGTTAACAGTGAATCAGGCTCGATTTCATTTTTCTTTGTTTCTGGTATTCTATATGGTGGGACTGAAACTTGTGAGGCTGAGTCTGGAGAAAAAAGTTCAGCTTCTTCAGGGTCTTCATCTGACAAAACAGTATGTTCAGATGGCGATGTTAAACATATTGAAGAATCGGACTCAAATTCTCTTTTCTCGGTTTCCTGAGTTGCATAGGGTGGAAATGAGAATTCTGACACAAATGCGGAGTCTGGAGAGAAAGGTCCAATGTCTTCTTGCTCTTCTTCTGAGAAATTCATGGGTGAGGAGGCACCTTTTATATTTAAAGGGGATCTGTGGACAATTTCTACCTCCTGTGATTCTGGTGTTGCATATGGTGGTACTGAAAATTCAGAAGCTGAGGTGGAAGAAGGTGTGTACCGCTCCATTTCTACTGTCTCTTCTTCTGATAGGACCACATATTCAGATGGAGTGGCTGAAAGTGGTGGGGCTTGGTATTCAGAAGTCACATCAGCTATGCATGGGGGGAGAGAGTGTTCAGACACAGAGGCCACATCTGGGGAATACGGTCTAGTGTCTTCCTTCTCTTCTTCTGGCAGAATCATGTGCTCAGAAACATTTTTTGATTTTAACAGGGGCACATCATCAATTAGGGATTCCTGTGCTATATTTGGTGGAACTGCATATTGGGAAGTCAATGTCAAATCTGGTGTGAAACGCTCTCTTCTTGGGTCCTCTTCTGATAGGACTGCACATTCGGATGCAGCAGTTGAAAGCAGTGGTGACTGGCACTCAGACGTCATCTCAGTTATGCATGGGGGGAGAGAGTGTTCAGACACAGAGGCCACATCTGGGGAATACGGTCTAGTGTCTTCCTTCTCTTCTTCTGACAAAATCATGTGCTCAGAAACACCTTTTGATTTTAATGGGGACATATCGTCAATTTTCTTGAGTGACTCTTTTGTTGCCTGTGTTGGAACTGAATATTCAAAAGCAGATGTGGAATCTGGAGTGTGACGCCCACTTTCTGAGGCTTCTTCTCCAGGCAGGACCATGTGTCCCAGTGTAGCTGCTGAAAACAGTGGGAACTGGCATTCAGAAGTCTTCTCAGTTATGGATGGTGAGAGAGAGTGTTCTGATGCAGAGGCTGAAGCTGGAGAATAAGGCTCAAATTCCTCATTTTCCTCTTCTGACAAAACTGTATGTTCAGACAGAGCTTTTACATTGGATGGAAAAACTGCCTCAACTTCTTGCTTCTCTAGTTCTTGGTTCATATCCTGTGGGACTGAATACTCTGATACAAAGGCAGAATCAGTAGAAACAGACTCATTTTCCTCCCTTTCTTCTTCAGACAAAGCAGCATGTTCAGGTGTTGATGCTGTCAGTAATGGCAGAATAGTCTCCTCTTCTTCTCCCACTTCAGGGGCCAAATGTGGTGGGAGGGGCTTCTCAGAAACCGATGGACTTTCTGGGTAATCAAGTTCTATGATCTCTTCTTCCACTGAGTTAAAATCTTCAGGTTCAGAGGTAGCAGTTATTGGTAGAGAAGTTTCCATTTCTTCTTTCACTGGTTCCTCTAATACTAGCTGTTCAGAAAGAGAAATAGATGGCTCAGGCACATTTTCTTTCTTCTCTCCTTTGACATCAAGATGAGGAGGGGTTAGTTGTTCAGAAACTGGTTCTGCCCTTTCTAGTGAAGTCAGGTCCAGTTCTTCTCTTTCTGGGCCAAAATCTTCCTGGATAGATGCTGACAGACCTGGTGAATCTGTTTCCAGAGAATCCTTCTCTGCCTCCAGTGAAATTGAATGGTCAGAATACACATCTTCCTCCTTTACATCATCCACTAAAGGTGGTGAGACTGAAGAGTCATGCTCTGAAGTTACAGCTTCTTGCACATCAGACTCAAATTCTTCCTTTGCCGTTTCCGAGAACACAGTTGCAGATGTATCAGGCCTAAGAGAGGAAGGCTCCATTTCAGAGGGTTTTGCTTCTTCACCTGGCTGTTGTGGCACTGACTGTGAAGGGCTGAACTGTGTTTCTAGTTCTACTGTGTCATTTATAGAAGAGGAATCTGCATGCTTGGTGGCAGATGCAGCCTTTAGAGGAGAATCAACGTAAATTTTTTTTTGATCTTCACGACTAAATAAGGAGGTCAGGGACTTTGATCCTTTGGACAGCGTACCTCCCCAGGGTGAAGGAAGCTTTTTTACTTTATCATCTTCTATGCTTTGGGTTACTAATTTGTCAGTTTTGGAAATTATATTAGAATCACGATTGCCTAAATCTGGCTCTAGACTAATGGATGCATCCTTCCCCTTCCTATAACGTATTTCCTTAATTACGTAACCCTTTGGCAATGTGCCATAAAATTGTAGTGGAATTAATTCTTCTTTAACTGAATTAAACATCTTAATTTTATATTGTACTGTTCCTATGTAGACTGGTCGTAACACTAACGGCTTGTGTTCCTTGTATATTGCTCCAGTAATAGGAGGTGTATTTGAGGTGGTCTTCTTTTTTCTCATTTTATCATAATCGCCAGTAGATGACTTCTCTTTCTGGGTTTTCAGTAACTGGCCTTCTGAAATTAAAGGATTTTCTTTTTTGTTTGCTGGTACATCTTGGGATTCAAAGGAATTTCTTTTTTTATTGCCTTTGCGACGCAATGATGGTGAGCCATGCTTTGACTTAGACGCTCTTTTCCTAACCTTTTTAACTTCATCCACAATAAAGGAAACATTCCCTGCAGGAGGATTCATAGTCGACCCTTCTAGACTACATACACCAGAAGTCTGACTTTCTTCCGAAGCCCAAGGAGTGGAAGACCTACTTGAATTGGTCTCCCAGGTTATTCCACTATCCTCCCGCTGAACTGTCACCATGGAAAAGGAGGGGTCAGATATGATACACTTCTGCTTGGTCTTGCCCTCTTCGTCCTGGTCTGATAACCTACAGTAAGTAATAATAACATCAATAATTATATTATAATAAAATAACCTTATATTAATTACTTGTGATAATAAGCAAATACCATTTTACCAGGTAAAGGACTAATGTGAAATTAAAATACAGAAATAAATATCGCCACCCATATCAAAAACAGAGAAATATACAAAATAAAGTTTTAAAATTGTCAAATACAATAACACATCCCAGGCTAGAATGACTCAATATCCCCAAACTCAAAAACAAGCAAACATTAAATTCATCACCTCCACTTATCAGGATTGCCCCCGACCTGCCGGGGCTCACCCAGTCACTCAGGCTCACTCTCTAGTCACCAAGACCTTCATAACAGCTCTCGCGTCTGTGCCATCCATTACTACTATTGCCGCCCCAACCTAGCTCTTTATCACATCATCTCTAGATAATTGCATTAGCTTCTTAACTGGTCAGCAGGTATCACATTTACCTCCTACCCTCCCCCACCCTCAATTCATCCTGCCCATCTTTCCAGACCACCTTTACTAAAAATTGTTATCATGTACTCCCTGTTCAAAAATCTCAGTGAAATTTCTTATACCTATAGAAAAAAAGTTCCAAATCCTTAGCTCTTTGATTCCTAGCTGACCTCATTTCAAAGCACCAACTCCACCTACCCCAACATAGTACATTTTAACTCTATAATTCGCTGTCCACTAAATATATCATGGGAACTCTGAATCAGGACCATAAAAAGGACACAGATCACAGAATATACAGAGATCACAAAAAATGTCAGCCTACTGTACTGTAGTTTCCTCATCTGTAAACCAGAGGTAATAACAGAACCTACCTGATACAGTTGTTGTGAAGATTAAATTAGGTACATTAAATGCTTAAGGAAAGTGCCCGGTATGTAGTTAGTGTTCAATAAACATTATCTGTAATCAGGCCTTCCATACAATCCTTGGACTAGAGATTACGGGAACGTGGGAATGGTCATTTTCAACTGCTAAAGGTATTTGGAAAGGTGGTCTCCCTGGACTGCTCTCATGTCCCCTTAAGAGATGGCTGGCTTTGGCTGCCTCTCAACTGCCATTGAACATCGGTCTCAGACTCTACAATACTCTGGAATTTTTTTAAACCTCCTCCTCCCCTGTGTTCATGCTGTTCTTCCATTTAGAATGCTTCTTTCCCATCTTACTCTACTTTTTCTGCATATCTACATTCTATCTACTCTTTAAGGCTTAGTTTAAACCTCCACTGTTACCATTCCTGACCAGTTCAGTAGTCATATCTGCCATCACTTCATAAACATTAAGTTCAAGATTAAAACTCCAAGGGCTCTTTCTTTCTAGGGATATGGCTACAATTTGAGATAAATACAAACTACTGACTGGCTTACACCTTTCTACAACAAAACAAAAATAAATACTCTCTATGGTAAAAAACCACTAAGCATAAGTATTTAATGAACGTACTTTTTAAAAACACACTCAGTTAGAATTTAGGTCCCTTACTAATAATTTTTTAAAATCATCAGTCACTGCTTATATTAGTGGTTCTTAACTCTGGACACATTTTAGAAATCACCTGTAAGGAGCATTTAAAAAATATTGATAACACTCATAGTCCTCCCCACAGAGACTCTGATTGAATTGTACTAGGGTCGAGTCCTAGCATTGTTATGTTTTTATATTTTAAAAGCTTCCAGGTAACTCCAATATGCATTCAGAGTTGAAAATCACAGGCCTAAACAATCCTAGCTATGAAACTTAATAATGCATGCCTTTCTTGCTTACCCTGAACCCTTCCTAATTTGTTAGGTTACGCTAAGAGCCAAGACCAGCAGGTACATTCTACTCTCTTTTCTTAAACTTCAGAATTTGCAGTCTGTGGCAAAGGGCTAGGGACTGCTGAGATCCTGATCTCTTTAGCTCTCACCAAAGCCAGGTAGAGCCTGGGGCAGCCAGAGCCCCTGGGCCACTATCTTCAATAGCAAGCAGACTCATCCATTCACCCAAGTGTGCCATAAATAATATCGTTTTCTATATATGCCATGAATGAAAAGGGCTAGAAAGCAGTGGGAAGAACTGGTTTCTCCATTTCCCAGGCAACTCTGGCTCTCACTTTTTTGCTTTAGTATTAAACTTAATACTAAAGTATTAAGTACTTTACTGAACTTAATTAAGAATTAATGCCCTATCTTGGTTCTAGACTGAAATTTTAGAATATTTTTTTCAGGCTCTCTTACATAACTTTTTAAAGTTACTCCTCAGAATTTTCAATTCCTACTACTCCTCCCTTCTATTTAACTTAACAGAAGCAGGATAAAATTAAAAATTAAGGTTACAACATGTAGCTTGGAAGTCAGTATTTTGAATGTCGAGGAGTGCAGTAGTATTACAAAAGCAACTATAAATTCAATTTGGAGTTAATTATTGATTGAATGTACTCAACCAGAGTAGTTTTCCTTACTAGCTAGAATGAGCTCAAGAATGCTTAGCAAAATACCCAAAAGGTGATTGATCATAAGAAGACAGTTACTGAGGTGGGTTCACCCAATCATTTGCTTACTTATTCACTCATTTATTTTTTCAGTAGTGAATTTTTATTGAATTTAAATACTAGAATACAAATATAAAGACACAAAATCTCCCCTAAAGAAATTCAAAATCCAACACAGAGACAGAATTAAATATTTTAATACAGTATGTTAAGTACTATAACAGGAGATAGGAAAGATATATAGTGAGAACATAAAGGAGGGAAGACTTCACACAGGGAAGATACTTGGATTTTGAAGAAGAAATAGGAATTTGCCAAATGAATGAAGAGTGGAGGTGGTGTGAAGATGGGGGAGGTCATTTCAGAAAAATGTCACAGTATATGCAAAATGTGCATATGAATAAATTAGTATAGCTCACTGAAAAAAACAAAAGCATTTTGAGATATGTGGGTTATAGGAGAGAAGCAAAGGATAAAAGAATGACAGAGCCAACGGGAATCAGGGAATGACTATATTAGCATGTGGAAAGCTACAGCCCAAGTATTCACATTACACTCAGTCTAATGAAACAACTTCCCTTAATAGATGAGAAATGGTCCCACAGAGTTCAGAAATGTATTTTTTACTCAGGAACATAAGTGTTCTCATCTATGCAAAAATGTATACATCAGCTTTTCATAGTTAGTGGATATTGGCTATGAATATCATTTCATTCATTCTCTTCTGATTCTCACAAAGCAAACTCTTGATTTTTGGCTTCCCATGTAGACTTATCTGTGGGGGTGAGGATTAAAGACAGACTTTATTGGTGAAGTCATCTGGACCTAGAGTCTTTTTTTGGTAAGGTTTTTAATTAACAGTTTAATAGTTATGTGACTATTGTGTCTGCGTTTGTATGTTGTAGTTTTTTAAAAATTGACCCATTTAACCTAAAATTTTTAAAACTCATTGGATTAAATTTGTTCATAATATCCTTTTAAGAGCTTTTAAATTTTTGTAAGAACTAAAATTTGATCTATTTTTTCACTCCTGACATTATTTGTGTCTTTTCTCTCTCCTTCTTTCCCTCTCTCTCTTGGTCTTTTTAAATATTGCCAGGGGTTATCATTTGGTAGTCTTTTCAAATAAAGTTTAGCTTTATTGATTTTTCCTATCTCATAAATGTTTATTATTTCCTTTCTTCAACTTTCTTTGGGTTTAATTTGCAATTATTTTTCTACCTTCTTGAGGTAGATTCTTAGATCATTATTTTACACCTTACTCCTTTTCTAATATATGAATTTAAGGCTATTCGCTTCTCTTTAAGAAAGATTTCGATGTATCACATAAAAATTTGTATATAGTATCTTCATTATTATTAATCTCAAAATATTTTTGAATTTTCACTGTGATTTCTATGTGACCCAGAGATTATTTTAAAATAAGTTTCTCTTCTACGGCCATGCCACCCTGAACACGCCTGATCTCGTCGGATCTTGGAAGCTAAGCAGGGTTGGCCCTGGTTAGTCCTTGGATGGGAGACCACCTAGTAAGACTGGGTGCTATAGGCGTAAAAATAAATAAATAAATAAATAAATAAATAAATAAATAAAACTAAGTTTCTCAATTTCAAACTACATGGGGATTTTCTAGTTATCTTTTTGTTAGTACTTTCTAATTTAATTGCATTATAGCCAGAGAATTTATTTTATATTAGGTTATACTGTCAAATTTGTTGAGATTTGCTTTATGGCTATACAGCCAAGATATTTTATTTAAAAAAAAAATTTTTTCCTTCTCATTTTTTTCTTTCTTTTAATAATTTATTTATTTTAATTAGTTTCAAATATACAGTACATTGGTTAGACATCTATATAGTTTGTAAAACAATCCCCCCCAATTCCTCCCTCCCTCCCCTGACCCTCCACCTAGCCAACATATTAATGTTAACTGCATTCCCTATGCAAT